TGCTATGGGGATATGGTGTATTGTGAGGAAGTCTATGGTAAGAGTCATCCTCATCTGCTCTCTAAACAAACAAAAAAACCTGAATGTATTTTTGACTTTGCTGCTGGTACAGTATCTGTAGAGTATCGCTAACCGAATGGTAGTGCTTTGACTAGTAGCAGCACTGACCTACATTTACATCCATTGTTACAAAAAAAAACTGCCACTTCCTTTCTGTTTTTTCTCATTCTCAGCCGTACACACATTGTCCCACACTCAGTGTGTGTCTGGGATTGTGGTGAGATGGATTGGCAGATGCCTCCCAGTGGGCTGCCCCCTGTCAGTGCAGTGTAAACACCTGTGAGTCCTCCTCTGTATCCCATAAACCCAATCTGCCAGGTTCTTTGGGAACTCAACTGGAGCTCACACACCCAACGTTCACCTTCCTAAACCCCCCAAGCTCAAAACATCAAGGCATCTCTCTCAGCACATCCAGTCTAGTGAAAAGAAAATTGTATGTAGCTTTACAGTGGGGGTCTTAAATCTAGATTACCTGGGGCCTCTACCTAGTAGTAGTAGTAATAATAATAATAATTATTATTATTATTATTTTATTTTATTTTCATGAATAGGCCTTCAGCTGAATTTATTTGACATACAATTGGATTAAAATTTTATTTTACTTTATTTGACATCTTGTTTGGCTGTGTGTCTGCCTCTTCTGTTTTTTTGTTTGTTTGTTTGTTTACGGTAATTAAAAATGTTAAAGGGTTAGTTCACCCAAAAATTAAAATTAGCCCATGTTTTACTTACCCTCAATGCATCCTAGGTGTATATGACTTTCTTCTTTCAGTCGGATCCAATCGGAGTTATATTAAAGGGGTCCTATTATGCTTTTTCACTTTTTTAATTTTAGTCAGTGTGTAGTGTGTATGTTTGGGCATAAAAAAGATCTATAAAGTTACAAATCTCAAAGTCCACTCCAAAGGGAGATATTTCGTTTAAAAAAAATCCCTTTTCAAGAACTACAACGAACGGCTCGTTTGGACTACAGCGTTGGTTTCAGGGCTTTGTGATATCACAAAGCGGCCCATTAGAATATCATTAAAAATACTTCCCGCCTACAGAAATTCGAATGGCTGCTGGATTCGCCAAAAAGCTTTTGTTGAAAGACGGAGCAAGGGGTGTGGCAGTACTGAAACACCGTCTACGCTGTTCGCCAATCACAACGCACTGGGACAGCTAACCAATCGCAACACATTTTGTTTTTCGGAAGGCGGACCTTCATCAAAGCCGGAACTAATCGAGCCGTTTGTGCCAGGATGGGGAGAAAGGTATTTTAATAATGTAAATTATGTGAAAAATAATGCGTCTTCCGAACCACCAAGCATGAGAGCATGTTCTAGTACACCCCCAAAACAAAATCAAGACTTTGTAAAAGAGCATAATAGGACCCCTTTAAAAAATTTTCCTCGCTCTTCCAAGAGTTTGAATGGGAGTAAGCGGGTGTTTTTTTCAACAGTCCAAAAGTAATCAAATAAAGTGCGCGCATGCGTAATAAAACGTGCACGGAAGCACACAGGAGAGATCAAAACAAAACAACGGTCACT